AGGTCTTTACTCGGGATGCGAGAGTCGCGTTTTATTTTCTTAAAAGGCGAGTTAATGAATTAAGACTAGCCGGGAGGATCAGGCGTTCGCTGAAACACAAAACCTGCCAAACTAGTATTTAAGATCCCCAGCATGCAAAACTCCCATCGTATAAAATTAAATGCAAAGAAAATGCCATGGAAACGTCTTGTTGCTTAAATTACCACAAGAAAGGATTTGATATTTTTTAATCGTATTCAAATTCTTTTTTACTAACAGAAATCCAATACTTTTCTGTCTTTAGGTCTTATTCCACACATGCATCCTGCAAGTATCTTCGACTCCTGCTGACTAGAAAGAGCACCCAGCTCTTAAGCAGCATTAAGCCTTCCTGTTCTTTTCCTGCAAAGAACCTAGCAGAGAACATTTCAAATGCACAGGTACAGAAAACAACACATGGAAGCTCATAAAATATATTTAGAAATTGCCTACACAAATAGACACAAAACACAACAGTAGCTGCCATCCAGTTTAAGTATCTAACAGAATATATTCTTATTACAATCAAAATCCTACAACAAATCACTAAAAATACATCAGAATAATCAAAGTTACTTTATTTATATTCTTTTGTATTAGATTAGACTAGAAACTTGAAAAGGATATTTAAAACAAGCAGAGGCATTTTACTGCAGGTTACCAACTTGCACATATTTAACTGTTGCACATGAAAAGGTTTTTTGTTCTTACCAATAAATTTCTGAGGCATTGAGCTTTTTCGCTTTGCCACGTTGCTTGCTAGCCTGTCCAGCACAAGTGCTCTTTCACTCCCCATCTCTGCCTTGATGTGCCTTGCCTCCACGCTCGCTAGTTTGGAAAATGTGAAAAGAAAAAAAAACACAACAAAAAACACAACACGTAGGTGAAAAGGAAAAAAAAAAAGAAGAAAAAAAAAAAAAAGGAAGAGATGAATGGTTTAATCTCCGGAGTTTGCCACACTAACTGGGAGGAAACAGTTTGGAGATCTGATGTAAACTTGTTTTGCTTTTTCTGTCGTTCTTGCTCTTTGCGTCTTGGGCACCAGTTGCGGTCAGTGGAACCAAGCACACAACAGGCACTAATCTTGCAGTCCCGAGCTCATGCAAGGAGAGCATAAACCAAACAAACCCAGCGTCTTCATCAGCAAGAGGAAGTGTAAAATAAACTGGCTGGAAGGGTTGGTTACAAAATGTAGATGGAGATAGAACCTCTCTTAGCCTTTCTTTTTTTATTCTGAGTAAGACTGTGTGACACCTGCAGACTGACACAGTGCTTCAGAACTCCAATGTAAGATACTTACGGCTCTTGCTACACTTTTTAGATATCAGTCATACGTAGATGTCTCTTAACTAATCACTAAGAAACGTGTATAAAATATATCAATGTTCCATTAAAATAAAAATAATATAAACTTTCAATATTCACGTCTCCTTTTTTTGAGGTGTCATTATCACTTAATTTTTTCTCCTAAATGCTCCGGCCAAAACTAATTAAAAAAGGCACACTTGCAAGCATTAGCATTAGGCATTTTAAAGCTCATTACAACCTCCAGAATGTCTAGTTTTAGGGAAAGTACGTGTGCCCTACGATCACTCCCTCGAGACTGGGCCACTGACTGCCTTAAGGAGGTCACCGTTTTCCAGAGCTCTCCTTTAGCCCTGCTAACCAGTGCCCTTCATTTCACGGAAATTGCTGCTTGCTCTCACCTCGTGGAGGCTGTGCAGGCTTTTGAGCTGGATCAGCCAAGCTGAAGGACTGCCACCTCATATCACTACTGCCAGACTAATACCGAATATAACCGCTGCGGCTTCCCCCCAGAAAGCTTGCTCTCGCCTGAAGAGCAAGTATCGGTAGCGGTATTTTTATATTAAAAAGTAGCACTAAGAGTTTCAGCATTAGGGACCACTGTGGTGAAAACCGGACATATTTTAGGAGACCGCCCGTGCCTTTACGAGTTGGTGTCTACATAGAGGAAAACGAAGACAAGGAAGGGTAAGTTACTTTCCCAAGGTAATACAAAAGGTCAGATCTCACCGTGAAAGAATCCTGGCTGCTGTGTTATTGTACTATTGCACCAGCATGCCTAAATATACGAAACATAATCTACAGGAGAGAGAAGTAATGCCAGAGGAAAATGATACAATCACTTCAGTCCTGCTACATGCAGTTTTATTAAGTATTGGACTTAAATTGCAGTTTGCTAAGCACAGCAAGCGATAAAAATGCAGCATCATCCTTCCGTAGCTTAGTGTGCAGCATTTCCCGATAAAATTCAGTCACTCCTTACTTATTACTGCTGTTATTGATACCATATGAGTTTCAGTCAGCACAAACCATGACTCACCAAACCTCAGCCAGAACTATTTGTTCATGTTTGTTCAGCATTTTGAAAAGGTAAAGTGCCTCAGAAGTACTCGACGCCACAAATACCAGCTACGAATATGACTCAGGATGGATGGGATAATAGGGCTCAGCCCAGCGCTGCCCCGTCCCGTCTCATCCGGCTCGAAGCCCATGATCTCCATGATAACCACAGCCACAGAGGGCATGCGTGCCAATGCCTTAAAGGTACTAACACACCGCTTTCCAGTCTGACTTCTCCTCCAAATTACTCCAGTATGTTTACAGACATACATAAATATACTCATCAACTGCTAACATGCCCCTGCTTCCAGCGTGAAACGCCAAGACACTACCTAACAGTTTACATAAAGTGAGGCAAAACATCAGATTAAGTTGAAACTGTAAGGGAAAGTTTGGTAGGCAGAACATCATCATCTGTTTGGATTTTGGCCAGAAGCTCTAGTTAATTCTTGAGAATAATATTATGGGATTTTTAATTTCAGAACTTCTGTTTAATCTTCATGCTCTAAAAACTGGAATATGCTTTCTGAGCTCTTTCTAACATCTTTAGATAACTGCAGTTCAAGGTTTGAACTATTCCCAACCCAGAAAGCTTGTGATCTTGACAGGATCACTGCACAAGTCATTAATAACAGTCATTTAAATTTAAAAAACCCCAACAACCCACAACTACCCTGAACAAGATAATAATACAAACAGTGCTGTATATTCAAAAATTTATGGTGTAAAGAAAAAAAAAAAGAGAGAAAACACCATTCATTCATTCATGTCATAAAAGCAGCTCCCTGGTCCCTACCAGTTCTTCATTTTTCTTATTTTGTTCTTCTAGTTCCTCTTTTTCTCAGTCTCAAACTTCATGAGTTGTACTCATGTTCCATTAAAACTTTAATTTCACGTTTTCAGAATCTTTTTCTCTATCTTCTGACAGAACTCAAAGACCGACGTTTCCATAAGTCCTCCTAGCCAGCCCTAGGAACACGCCGGGAGCTACACGTAGCGTATCAGTGACTACTTGTCTTGTCAATGTTATTTATGTGCCACCAAGGGAACTTCATTAAATTAGTGTCAAGAGGGCAGACAAGCGGCTTCCTGCAGAGGTAACAATAGTCTTTACTCAGACGAGATTGCTGAAGAGACACTAACTACTGACCTACATAATACGTTCTGGGACATCTGCAAGTATCAATCTTCCAGCTTGATGTCTGTCTGCCGTTTTGTTTTAACGCTTAGGGTCTTTTCTTTCACATTAAGATTTTACACTCCTTGCTAACGGCCATTTTTTCCTAAAGAAAAAAAAATAATCTCTATTTATGGGCCTCAAAAGGTCTTTGACAATGTCTTCATAATACAGCCTTAGGGAAACAGTATCTGCTCTCGTTGAGACACAGGTGGTTCTCTCCCACACCAGTGCTCTCAACTTAAAATTATCTCACCCACTTCTTTCTTCTGGATCACTTATTAAACAATCCAAGAATAATACTTAGTATTTGGGAAACATTTTTTAAGCACAAAATTCTCTAAAGGCTTCTCAAACAGAGAGAAATAATCATGCCCTGTCTCCCTCTTCAGTTACCTTACCCACTGGATGACTCCAGGGCACATCGTGACATTAGTTTAAAGACCTAATTATCTCACTATAACATGCATCTAAAAATAAATTTCAGGCTGGACTGACAGAAATGGTCAAGTGCTTTGCTCAAAGTTACACTGAGAAAAAAAGAACAGTTACGAAGAAAATCTAGACTTCCAAAGCACTTAACCTATTTCAGCCTGTGATCTTGAAATGCCCTGCAAGCTAAATACTTCTGATGGTTCAACTGCATGGCCAGAAAACAACAGAAACTCTAAGGACGCCGAAAGGAACTCTGCAGACCAAATAAATCACCCTCTTCCCTCTTGCTCCGATGCGGCCAGTGCCCTCGCATGTGCCTCTGGAATCACCTGGCAAGTCAAGCTCCTAACCATGGGACTTTACAAGGCAGTAGGATGGGGCTTAGCTCCAATGTCCTGACCACTCTTAAGCTTGGGTCACCATCTCCTGCTTAGCTAGGACTAGCGACCGATGATGGCCTTCCCTGATCACCACCTGAGATGTCTCTGTGGTGCTTCCGAGTACTGTTGCCCACCTCAGCGGTGTGTACATTTCAGTTGTGATCTTAAGTTTATAAAACGCTTCCAGAAGAGAATTTTTGTGCAAATGTGATTTATTCATTATGAATGACTACTTATGTTTTCTTGTAATCACTGGGTGACGAGCCACCTCCCTAAAACAGCGCTGTCATCTAGCCAGCATGTCATCCTGTAGATGTACAGAGAGTGAATACTCTTCTTCGAGCCCAGAGCATGAACACACGATCACTTAGGCTGTACCGAGTTGTTTCCATAGTGTGGTTTCTGTCACACCATAAATGCGAGTATAATTTTTAGAACATGTGGGCATCGTTAACAAACCCCTAAAGTACAAAGCAGAGCTCAAATTAGAGGCATTGCTTCCTGTAGCATCTCTGTGTGGTCACTAAATAATGGAGAATGGAACAGAGAGGTGGGTTATTGTGCAATGAGAACAACGTGACCAGAGATTGTTATCAGGGACTGAAGAACGCTCCAACAATATTGTTACATAAACCTGTCTTTCAGAAATATTTCCACACTGCTACATTTGGAACATGCAAACCTCGTACTGAAAAGCAACCAGAATGGTTACTACGGTCCTGATGCTTTTCAATATTTGAATTAATTATTAGAGGACGGCATGCAGAGCATGCTTGTGCTTAGAGATGGCTCCATGTGAGAAAGTTGCAAGGACTTCGGAGAAGTACCAACATACAAAGTGATGCAGCTAACTAGGAAAATGGCCAGAAATCAAAAAACAATGCTCACTAAACACAAGTGCAAAATGGGGAAAAAACCAAATCAAATGCACTAGATGACCTCCTGAGGTCCTTTCCAGCCTCCCCTCTCTCTGATTCTGTCATCTAACACGGTTCTGATACCAGAGAATTGAATGGAAATGCCTCAGCAAGACGGGAGTTTCTGTTTTTCAAAACTTACTACTCCACTAAAAACACTGCAATATTTTTAAAAGTGTGAAGGTCTTAAAGGCATGGGGCGCAGCCACGCCGTGTCGCACTGGAAATTTACGTTTCCTCTGTGACCAATTTAAGGCATACTGTACTACTGCAGTAAGGACTACACAGCAGATTCTGGCGAAGTGAAATGTTGCTATCCTGAAATGAATATAAACCCTGAGAATCATTTAAAAGCAGAAATCTATAGTAGGTATCATGTTTTCCATTTTCACGTGGTTGGATATCTCGGAGCAATTGCCATCATGGGAGTATGTACTGTGACATAAACCCACAGTTACAATATGTATTGGGTTCTCATGAAAACCAAAACTTGCTGACGTTCTGATAACCATTTACTTTTACTCATGCTCAAAAAAACATGCCATTTGCTGAAAAGAAAATAGCCCACAAAAAACTATAAAGCTCTAACTTCGTTAAATCATTGTTTCTTTATGGCAGTTTTTGTGTGTGCTTGTGTCATAACACTTGATACAGATACACCAACCTACACACCCTGCACAGGGTAAAGACTCTTGTACCCACATCGTTATCATCGTAATTCAATGGCTCTTCACAGTGGTTTTCAGGTTTTTGTGATGATTGCCTGCAGAATCTTTGCTTGATAATCGTATCACTAAATACCTTTTTTTAATTATTATTATTAAAGGGCCTTGCTAAACATCGTCATCTCTCTAAGTATATTTGTACATTTTAGTTTTCTTCTCTGAAAACTCACTTTAAGCTTTTCCTTGAAAAGAAAATTCTATTTGAAAGTCATGGTCAAAACTAGGGTGCTGGAGTCCTTAAAGTTATTGTTTGGTTTTTGAAGGCTGCATAGCAAAAGAATGGGAAGCTGAATTCTGAAATTGTAGCCTCAGCTCTGCTATAGATTAGTCGTATAACCTTTCTGGAGGTCACAACCACTCCCTGACTCTGCATGGGAAAAGTAATTCTTTCCTGGCTTACTGGTGTATTGTGGGACTTAAATCACACAAGTTCATTTTAGGAAATACTCAGGTGAAGCAGGCTCAAAGATTACGGCAGTTCTTTTTCACCAGAGTATTTTCAGAACTGCAGCACTGAGACTGTGAAAAGGAAAATAAGAAAAACTGTGTTTTGATACCTTTTACCTTCAGCCTTTTTCAAAGACAGTTCTATACTTAAAGAAGTCTCTTACCTCTCACTACATCCTAAGCTGATTTATCAGTGATCTTCGGGATACTGCCCCTCTTCCATGCCCTCGATTCAACGCCACTAAAAATTCTGCAAATTCTAACCAATTCTGACCAACAGTTCTTATTCGATAGAAAAGGAAGCACCAAACGGACTGAGGCATGTGAACAACTGTTTTTAACAACCATGGGCATCAACTCATCCAATAAAATAAGCCACATAACAGCATTAATCTAGGAATAATTTAACTTACTGTGAGCGTCACCTACAGAAATGCTGCGTGCAAGGTGTTTTGGATGTTTTATTCAAAGTAACTGTGAAATAAAAAAGTGATTAAAATAAACACATTCTTTAACTAGTTGCCTGAGGGATGCATTAAACCAGACCCTTCTGTAAGATGTTACAGCCCCTTAGGTTACTGAAAAGGATTGCAGTAAAAACTGTTCTCAGGCTGTGAATTAACAGCTTACCAGATGCCCTTTTTTAAGCATTGTAATGTACCAAAACACCAAAACCGCTGTAACGTGATAAACTCACCAGCCTCGCACATGCCAGCATTCTGCAAGTAAGTACGGCACCGCTCCTTGTGCTCCTCTAATGAGCTCCTTTGCTTGTAGCTCCTTCCACAAAACTCACATTTGTATGGCTTCTCCACTAGAAAAATAAGAGCGCAGTATAAAATAACCACGAGAGACTACAAAAACACTCTCTCGCCGACATTCAAGTATATAGTTACTGGTAGCATGTATGCAGCCCATGGAGAATGCTTTACATTTCTGTTAAGTTTACGAGCACTGTAATCATCACAAAATTAGGGTTACAGAAGGGTGAAACCCACCGGACACAGAGAGCTCCTCTTCATCCCCTAAGCTCAGCGTCAGAAGAGAAGAGGACTTACAATTAGACACTGTTCCCAGGAGCTCAGGTTCCTAGAGCCCTGTTCGAGCTGGCAGCTTTTCTTGGCATAACTTCCCGAGGGAAGACCAACTGTACCATTGCTAAACCGGGACTGCAACGGCCCGAACTGCCTGACCTGTCCGTACGGAATTTTTCAAGGATTTCACAAAACTGATGAAGTTAAACCAAACCAAAACCATACGTGAGGCTCATTTAATTGCCAAAGGCATTTACTGTAAAGCGAATTATATTTGTAACTCATTTAAGCTAAAGTAAACCTGTTTGAAACTCAAGACATCCACACAGCCTTTCCCAGTGCCTCATTCACAAGCACTTCCTAAATAATCTCGTCACTGTCTTGTGAGCAGACATCCTCTAACGCACCCAGGCAAAATACCACGCCTGTGCAGTGCAAATGTAACCAGCCTTGCGTTGTGTTCTGCGCAAAAAGACCATACTCCCAACTGCTAGTGCAATTGTTCACTTATTTATGTGATTCACTTGAAGAGATTTTCTTTATACTGTTTAATAAGCCAGCTCTTAAAACTTGAGTCACAATAACCACACGATGTGTTGGAAGCATGATGTTTTTAGCATTGTGCTGGTGGGGGACCGTCACCACCACTGTGCTGGGTCTCGATTACATCAGAATCTCATTTATCCATGTCAGATAATCTCATTTCTAACTTTGATTCTTCGTGAGGTTGAACTTTTTTTTCTGTAAAGTGCAGTGCAGAGATAACATCTATCATTTAGAATAAACGTTTTCTTTCTAGGCCCCTGTATAACACAGGATATACACAAATCAAAGAGTAAGCACAACCTGGCTCTTGCAGAACCGGGGAGACTACGATTAATCAGTTCATACCTGGCTTGTTATTCGAGTCACCTCAGCTCTGTGCCTCCATTTCTCCCATCTGTAGAACGGCTGGAACATCCTACCAGCCTTGAGAAAAACCACTGGCATTTGTTGAGCATGTTAAGACATTCAGATGAAAGGCACTACACAACAGCGAGGCGTTAACCGGCCATAGAGTCACGCTGTCCTGGCTGATGCCCCTAGAGCTCTCCTGACAGCTGAGGATAGGAACGGAAGGAGGTCCCAGCAAAGCATGTCTTCACGCTACTCCTCAAATTCAGAGCTCGCTGGCATAGCTAGCTCCACTCGTTTGAAAAGACCGAGGTGTTATTTTGTGCAAGCAGGTACGGAGGCTGGCCGTTCCTCACAGCACACAGCTGTGACGGCGGGTTTCCCCGCGCGCTCTCTCTGCATTAGTTGAGTCCCGAGACGGTTCCATCAGCACAGCGGGCAGAGCAAGTGGTCACTGCTACTTGTCGACTCTTCAAAACCAGACCGGCTGAGCAAACTTTGCTGACTGACTCTTTATTTCCACGCCTAGTGTCCTAGTGACACACATCTCAAACACATGAAGTGTCTTTGAAGTCACTTACCAGAATGTGTCCTTAAGTGACCTGTTAGCGCATCCCTCCTTTGGCAGGCATAACTGCAAAGATGACATTTAAAAGGTTTTTCCCCTGTATGTAGTTTAATGTGGCGGAGGAGGTTACCCTTCTGAGTAAAGGAAGCTCCGCACTGATTACACTGGAATGGCCGTTCACCTTAAAATGACATACAAAAAAGGACATTTAATGGTTACGTGGGTATCATGCTATCCTCATACCCTTTCCTTTTTGGAAGAGGAAAGAATGAGATACTGGATCAATTCCTTTCTATAGAAACACGCACAGCCCTTCCGTTGACTTCAGTGGGAGCTCTGGTATCAGAGCTTCCTGTAACATATGCACAACTATGGAAAACACTGTACAGTTTTTCCATGGAAATGAGTGTTCCGGAGGAGGCTGATTCCAACAAGCTAGCAATTTTTAGAAAAAAAAAAGTAGGCTTGTCTTACTGCAAGTCAAAATCTAAGATGCTCATTGGTTTGTTGCCAACGTATAGCACAAAGAGAAATGCATATACAGACTGGAAATGGCAGCACAAAACCAATCTAACTTGCATTTTGTGCCTGAAATACTTAAGTTACATAGTGCCTTTCATCCAAAAATTCTTAAAATGCCTCACAAACATGGTTTTGCTAACATTCGACCCTGATAAGAAGAAAGGTGGGTAAAGTGAGGCACAGAAAAGTGAGTCACTTGCTAAAGATAACATGTGGCATCAAGGACAGAACAAGGAAATCCTGATTTTGGTATCCTTTTTTAAAATAAGTAATCTAGATTACAAATTATTATCCTGTCAGTATTCAGCTCTTACAAGAATAATATAGGGATATTTACCAGTGTGGCTACGCTTATGAACCATCAAGACATTGAGGCTAATGCAGGCTAATCCACAGATATCGCAATTCATTTTTCCACTAGCTGGCCTGACGTTGTCATATGAACCAGAATGTCTTTCCAGTTTAATGCTTTCATAGTCATTATATTGTCTGGGATAGGTGTAAGGCATTTCAGATTCTTCTGGGTTTTCCATAGGCTCTGAATTTAAAGCACTCTCCTCTCTTTCACTGTATTCACCTTTCACTTTAACCACATCATCTGCAGGTAAAAGAAAGCACAAATGTGAAAAAATGCTCATCTTAGACACAATTGGCTATCTGAGGGAAAAAAAAATCACCAAAAATTACATAAAATTACATAATCAATCTTCCTAGAAGTTTTACTTAAACACCCAAAGATGAAGAAATGCAGTTGAGACATGAATCTTCATGGGTCGTGTACACTTAATGATACTCACAGTGAGATAACCTTTAAAAATATTGACCTGCTGTTAATTACCTTTGATGGATAATTTCCTTCTACAGATTATAAAAGTATAATACAGTACAAACTTCTCCTGCAATTACAGGGTACTATACGGGATACAAAAGCAAACACTTATTCCCACAACTCACAATTAGCCTATAGAAATTACTGTCTCGGGCTGTTCCTGTGAATTGGAAATACAGAAAGACAAAAATTAAAAAGGATACTTATATCTTCCTGTGGAACCTCTGGTGCTTGAAATATGTCTGATCCAGTATAAGCCTTCCAGTGCTCCCATGCTATAGATTCTCACCAGTTAAACCTAATCAATAATCCTAATTTTCACTTGCAAATTGCAATTTTTATCCAAGGATCCCAAATGTGTGAGGAGCATCTGATAATCTTGATACCTGTATCGTAAGGTTTCTATGTGAGTAAAAATAGCAGAGGAAGGGTAAAGATTTCCTGATAAATAAATGTATCCCAGAAACGTTAAAAGATTAGTCCAAGGCCACATCACGAGTATGTGGCAAAGAACCCAAAGACTCATGAAGATCAGCATCCACGGCCTTTGAACAGGTTCCTGGACCTGTAGCCACGGCCAGAGAAAACCAAAGACGTTGCCTTAAATGAATGCAATTGCATGGCAAGAGGAGAACGTGACGAGTAGCTAATAATTTACTAACAATAATGCTCCCATGTAAAAATATAAGCAAATTGGTCACACTGTATAAACAGCTGATGATTCCCAACTTACGTTGCTGAATTTCCACTATTAACTCCAGCACTACCAGCACTTGTCATTAAAATCCTTACACACCGACAGGACAGCTTTTTTTCTGCTTAAAGCTGACTTTTCCATCTGGACGAGAGCCCGGCTATGGCTGAAACGTGAGTTATGCCTCAAGCTACCAAGCGAAGAAAAGCACCGAGATAAAAAAGTTTCCTGTTTGAAAGTATTGTTCTCATGGCCACCTGCTCCTCTCTCAAATTGAGGATTAGACGGTTAAATATGGCACTTGACCACTTGTCCTTTCTCCAAAGTACAGAACATGGACTGCGGAATACGCATTAGCTCTGGTTCTGAGTAATAAACCACATCAAATGCCGAGAACAAACACTGGGTGACGGCGAAAATGAGGCGGCAACATAAACGCAGCACTGAAAAATAAAGATCTGGCAACTAATACTTTCAGGAAATCAAAATTTTCAATTGTATTTTGGTGATAAAATCACTCCTCTATCCTAAATGTTTGCACTAAGCCCACCCGATCTATATTAGCTTGGGTTGGAGTGAGGTGGAAGAAACAGTTGGCTGATACCTTCTTCATCCTATGCGAGAACCCACGGCAGTGCGGAGTACTCCGAGGTCCCTCTTGGTGCTCTCCCCAGATGGTGGTATCCACAGAAAGGTGGCTTTTTCCCCCGTACGGTGTGTTTTTATCCCCCCGTCCTGGAGGTTTTTTTAGAGTTTGGTATCAGGACTGAGAGCCCTGGTCCCTGAAGAGCTCAGGCAGGTTTGGGTGTTTGCCGAGAGGGTCGCAGGGAGGTCTAGATTCACCTACAAATGGGCCATTTTAATCTGCACCTTCTCCGGTACCAGCTCTGCTTCACATCCCGGGGATTCCTGCTTCCACTGAAACAGGGTTTCCTCTGCAAGTACCTTCTGCTGCCAACTTCACGTCTGAGGGTGCGAGGGTGATCCTGCTATCAAGACTCCTTCAAAATTAGTTTATGCATCCATTTCCATCACTCTAAGGAAAAATTATTGCCAGTTGCTGAAAGCAGCTTTCAACAGAATCTCTCTTCCAAAAAAAAAAAAAAAAAAAAAAAAGGTTTTTCGGTTGGTTGGTTGTTTTTTTCCCTCTCAAAAGGAGGCAGTTCCAAAATAATTTGCTACATCCTGCACAGCATGGTAAAAGGAAGTACACACTGCAGCTGCACCTTGTTGGTACTTTCAGAAACAATTTCAATTCCCACTTTCTTCTTAACATCTCACCTTTTGTCTGCATCAAATGCAGTCGCTTAGCAGTGGAGGACTAGTTGTAACCTCCAGCTGAGAAGACTTCTCTACCCTTTTCTACTGTTTCTCACCACAAGTTCATGGCTCACAGCTTTTCACTCTTTTACAGAGCTGCGCCAGTGCTCATGCAGCGCAGCATGAACGCTGGTTTGAGTTCCCCATGGCGAGCACTTGCTGACTGGCACAAACTGGGCAAGCCATCCTATGGTTCCACTGCGGAAAATGATGACCTCTGCATTTTCCACATTGCACGCTGACTGCTTGGGGTACTTGCGTTCTCTTATAGTAAGAGAGAAGGACGCAGCCCAGCTCCATGAAGGCTTTTCCACCACCGCCACTCCAGCTGGCAGCGATATCCCACCAAAGCTCGAGTGCTTTGCAGTTTGCGTGTAGGCATTTGAAGAACCTCAACGGAAAAACTCACCTTCTGATGGCCGAGAACAACAGACAGCAGAAGCCACTGGGGAAGAGGCTTTTTTTAACCAAATAAACCTTAGAAGGGTTGGAACTTTTCTGTCCCGACACGCCTGTTATTGCTAGAGTCTACTCTGCCTTCCTGACAGCAATACCTAAGAAAGCTTTGGTACAAAGCAGGCTGAGGAAAAGCCGGCTCAGTACAGGTCAGCCTAAAATTCACCAAGTGGTCGCAAAGGTCTGAAGCAACCAAACTCCTCTTTCAGCCCTGACTTTTGCTCTGTGTACTGGCATGCACAGGGAATGCCGTGAGATCAGGAGATTGGCAGCTGTGTGGAAAGGTTTGTATCTGTCACTTAAAAATCATATCAACATATTTTAATGAGACTAGGGAGTTTCCAGGCTGGTCCGCCTTAACCAAGAGCAAGCTGGCTGTAACTTCAAGTAGAAAAGGGAAATTTAACTGAGGAAAAACACAATTATCCCTAACAACACTAACAAAGTTCCCCCAGTTGAAAAAAAAAAGAAGCGCTGTCGTCTCTTCTATGCTGAGGAAAGTAAAGAGGTTGTAAGAGGAAAAAAACATTCACGGTGTCCAACCCAGGTAACTATTTTTCTTGAGGCAGTTCATGAAGGTAATATATACTGCAGAAAAAAAAGTTGATTTTACACAACAAAGTACCAGTGTGATGCGTTAAGGCTGATGCACATGGTTTCATTTCCTGGGGAGATGATTACAAGATGAAAGACGTACTCCAGAGTAATATTTTTGTTTCACCTGAAACACTGTAAAAACAATGGGTTCTGGAAAAAATCCAAAATAAAGCTGTGGTGGCAACTTCAGACTGAGTCACCACATGAACAGCGCTTGTATATGTTCTATAAAATGCACGAATAAAAAAAGAAGTCAATAGCATCAAACAATTAGGACAAGCTAGAGTGTTACCTTAGCTGTTCTCTCTAGGAGGAAGTCTCGGAAGGAAAACCCCCAATTACTATATTTAATCCAAGACCTTGGCATCAAATATAGAGAAAACAACGTAAGTTTTGCACTGTTGTTAAGCAAAGTTTACCAGCAGTGTTATGAAGAGCACAAAGAACAAAAACCAGAAGCTATTAAAGACAACGGCACAAAAGGGTGATGTTGCTCAAGTGTTTTACAAGGAGCGGGGTCATAATCATGAAATCCTCAGCACATGCAAAAAGTCAACTGGATAACAAAGAAACTTAATCATCTTAATGTGGCATTTTAATGATGCTGCTGATTTGCTATGCCAATTCAGAGATAATGAGCCCCTAATGCTACAGATGTTCAGCCAGACTAAAGAAAAAAAAAAAAAAGAAAAAAGAAAAGCTTTTCTTGTATGCCATTTCCTAACTATCCAATTAAACAAATTGTGAAAGCATATAAATAGTTTACCAGGTTTTGACAGCTGTTAATAGGATTCAGATGCCGAAGAACAAGATAGGAGTCTATACATGTGCATACTGAAGGATTCTTGTGACTACCTGGACTTGACAGGTATTAACTGATGATTCATCGCCATTATTTCCACAAACTGTCCCCAGAAATAGCAGTATAAAGCCAAAACCTAGTGTACACGTACTAGAGTTGGTCCCCTCCCAGAATGCGACATTCCTGTACCTAAACCAGCGTGAAACAGAACAGACCTACGTGGTGAAACTGAAAAAGTCAGCGGAGTTTCCAAATTAAAGTCAGAATCCTGCATGTTTATGAAAAACACCTCTACAGTGGAATTAACGCGCTGTGGGGGAAGATATGTCATGAATTAAAAACCACTCATATTCCTTAATGAATAGAGAGAGCTTTGCAGTACATCCCACCAAAATTATAAACTGGGAAGAAAAAAAAAGGAAAAAAAATTGATGCTATACACCTAAGGTTTTTTCCTTAAATAACAAGAAGAAAACAATTACACATGACGTACATGTATACGTTGAAAATTTGGAGACTGTAAGTAATGGGGAATTATAAAATGTTAAGTGACACAACAGCAACGTAAGATTTTTATTTTTTTAATAGAGGCAACAGAGTCACAGATAAGGCAACTTTTCTCCAGGTCTGTCTTTTACCCCACCACAGATACCAGCTCTAGGGAAGGGAAAGGAGTTCAAGCCTTTTTGGCCCGACCTGGCTTTGTTTCTTCCGCCGACTCCAGCGATAAGCTCCCTTTCCCACAACAGCCGCGACGCTGGGGCGAGCTCCCTGCTCGCCCGCCAAGGAAGGAGCAGTCGCCCAGACGCAGGATCAGCTTCCAGCTCGACAGCAGTGGCACAAGAGTAAAGAAGAGGTCGTGGCAGCAGACGCGCGCTCCCCGTACAGCGCCTACGCCGC